TATACATTCTCACTTATATGTGGAATCTTAAAAAACAAAAAAAACCAAAAAACCCCAAAACTTATCAAACAGAGAACAGATTGGTGGTCACCAGGGGCAGGGGGTGGGGAGTGAGGAAAATTGGTGAAGGTGGTCAAAAGATACAGACTTCCAATTATAAAATGAATAAATTCTGGAGCTATAATATACAGTGAGGTTACTGTAGTTAACAATACTATATTATATATTTGAAAGTTGCTAAGAAAATAGATTTTAAAAGTTCTCACCACACACACAAATGTAACTATGTGAAGTAAGGGATGTTAAACAACCTTATTGTGTTAATCTTGCACTATAGACCTATATAGTGCAAAATCATTACATTGTACGCCTTAAACTTATACAATCTTATGTCATTATATCTCAATAAAGCTAGGGAAAAAGAAAGCAAAAATTTGATTATTTACATGAAATGTTCCTTTCCACTTAAATACAATTTTTTTCAGTTCCTTTATACAGGCCTCTTGGGAATAACTGTTCCTAACAGTGAGAGAGAACAGACTAGAAATCAGCAGATGTCATTCCCTAACTGTCCTCAACTGTGCTTCTCTGTCAATTTCACTTGGTTATTTTTTTTTCCTGCAAATTTCAACTGCTTGTTTCTCCATCACCAATTTCACTGTCCATTTCCAACCTCTGATGAGCCCCCAATATCCAACAGGACTAATACTTTTCACTTTGCCTGTATAAGGACCAGAATACAAGATGTGCTCTTTTTCTGAACACCCACCTCCAATGCAAATATCTGTATGGTTTATAGGAGCCACATGGAACATTTTTCCACTCTGTGGCTATGTCTTTTCAGCAGATCTACCCATGGTTATAAATATATATTTTTCTGATAAAAGGCACAGTTTTGGTTCAACAAGCACTGGTAAAAATTTGCTACTCTTTCAACAATATTGAGCAAATATTGATTGTCTACCATGTACCAAGCACTGTTGTGAAGATTCAGCGGTTATAAAATAAAAAGTCTTGCTTTCACAGCTCTTACATTCTAGACGGACAGAACACAAAATAACTATAATATATAATAGGTTGGATTGTGATAGGTTTTCTGGGGAAAAGAAGGTAGGATAGAGAATAGAAAATGCCTAGGGGTGCTTGCAATTTTAACAAGGGTTTTCAGAAAAGCTCTCATCATGAAGGTGGTGACGTCTGAGTCAAGAGCTGGTGGAAATGAGGGAGCAAGCCACGTGGGTATCTGGGGCAAGAACTTTTCAGGCAGAGGGAACCCCTAGTGCAAAGGCGCACGTAGGCTGTCACAAGCAGTAAGGAGTATTACTGTAAGCATCTGCCAGGGACAAAAATTCAGGCAAGGCTTTTTTTGTTGTTGCTATAAAGAATCCACCTACAAGAGAGTTTAATCAGCTTAAGATGAACATCAGTGCAGATCTGTTTAGTGTTGTCTCTCAGCCATGACCTCATTGCTAATACTGACAGCCTGGCCTGCCTCTTAGATTTGGATGAACCTTGGATGTGCAGCCTGGCAAACCTGGATGAAACCAGAAAAGAGAGTCTTGATAGCTGAGTAGGCCCAATGCTTCTTTACCTCATTTTCTCTCCCCATGGGCCTGCATATTAATCATATGTAGCCACTGATTCCAAGTGTAAATTTAATCCAAAATATGTCCATTACTGTATATGAACTAAGAAGTAAATATAATAGAACTTTACCTCAAATGAGCTAATGGTGGATTTCTGTCCCACAGACAGCCAAGACATAAGGCTACTGGGAACAAAGGTGGTTCCCATGCCACCAAATTGTTTTTTCAATGTTGTTTTCTTCTAGACAGGGCAACATAGGAAAGAGATCATTACTAACATTAAGTCTCCTATAGAATTTGCAGAGATTGTCCCACTTATATTCAACCAATAGAAATAATCTGCTCTGGACCTTTCTATCCCATAGCTAGCACAGTAGTATAACAGTGCCCCACTAGCCAAGCAACCCACACCTCCTTCCAAAGGTTTTCCAGTTTCCTGAGGAGAACATTTTCCTAAAGTTTCTGTTATGCCCTGAGAGCCTACTCTCATCCTTGATAAGAATAAAACATTATTAAGAACTCAACAAATAGACATTTGAAAGCAGGGTTTAGTTTATTTTAGCCCATCTTTGATTTGTTTGGGGCCTGAATTCCTTACATATGAAGATCAGTACTTATTTTGCAAGAATAAAGGTTTAAGAGACGATCAAGATTTCTTTAGCAAAGAGAAGCTGATTGAACATCCAAATAGGTCATGATGACTTATAAGTAACTGAAAATAGGATTTTAATGTCATAGTAGTTCTCTGTGTGGGTTGTTTAGATTTGTTTTAGGTGCCTGATTTAATTGGCTATGGTAGATTTGAAAGACATAGAAAGCCTTTAAAATATGGCTAGGTATGTGGTTTTAGATCCAAATCAAGTATTGATCATTATGACTGTGGCTTGGTATAAATTTAGAATTATTGTAATCTAATGTGTTGAGGTTGTTCCATACTTATATTTAGGAGTGGCCAGAGAGGACATTTCTATAATGAAACTATGCTGTAATCAAATCAACAACTTAGTAATTTACTAGCTTTTTTTTTTAACTTCACATATTTTAATCTTTCAAGATTTTTGTGATATTCTAAAAAAGTCATTGCAAAGAAGCTACTTGCTTTTTCCTCATAAAAGAATGCAATTTCCTAATTAATGAAGAGTCTTTAATTTTAGATGGAAAAACTAACACAATAGATCAATTACACCAAATTTAAAAGAGAATTTACTGTATGTATAACTAAAATACATGTTATTGTGGAAAGAAAAACATATAGGTAGTGGCTATCTTCACTTGTAAAATTTCTTTTGAACTAATGGGAACTTATCTCACACTCATGGACTGTTGTAAATACTCTACCAATCATGTAGTCCACAGCTTTAAGCTGTGATGTGCTGGAACAGAGGGCTTACTCACAGATTCAAGTTAGTTCACCTAGGTTGGATTCTTAGCTCCCCACTTACTAGCTAAGTAATCTCAGGCAAGACATTTAACTTTTTTGTGCTTTAGCTGAGAACATATCTACCTTGTGGATTATAGTAGAGCTCAATGAGTTAACACATAAAACATTCTTAGACCAGTGGCTGGCACATGATGAACGTTCATTAAATGTTAGCTATTATTCTAGTGTGTGATAAAGTGAGGAACTACCACCGTTCTTAATGGGAAGTACTGGATGCAATTCTTGAATTTTTACTGGGTTTCATCTACTTTTTATAGAAGCTAGTATGCTTTTTGGACTGAGAGCACAAGGAAGCAGAGAGGGATGACTCCTCTAAGTGAAACTAAACCCTGCATATAGTGCCTAAAATCAAAGGAAACTTGTCAGTATGCGCAGACACCAAGAGTAGACCAATCTGAAAACCCACTTCTCTCTCATTATCTCATGGAAATTAATAGAGAGTATCTGATGTAGACCCTTAAATTAACTGTTCCTGCTTAAGGTGTATTTATTTTTTTTCTGCCTAAGGTTTAAAACCTTGGTTTACTATGGGGTAAACTTAGGTTTTTGATAGTCATCCAAAATCTTCATATCTCTTCAGTCTCACTGCAGAATAAAAACTAAATTTACCACAGTGGATTGTTACATTAAGTCTGGTATTTATTTCTCCCAAGAGGCCATCTGTTTCTGGGGAAAGGCAACAGGGTGCCCTCCATTAATATATCTAACTGATGGTGTAATGATGTACAATTCCTTGTTAACCCTTGCAATTCAGTTATTGTCTTGGAACCTAAGATTGGATTCTCTTTTCACTGCATAACTACAAATCTAAGGATAGACTTTTATAAAAATATTGGCCCCTGGTTCAGGCCAGCTTCTAGACTTTGCTTCTGATGCCTTGAAGTTCTTTTGATCCATTAGTCAGTCTACTTGCCACAAAAACTCAAATTACTATAGTTAGAGGGGAAGGGATGGATTCTTCTGGTTCCAACTCTAAAACGTCCCAACAGAACAGGTGTACTTGCAAAGTAAAGTTAGCCTTAAGTGTCGTATATCTCAAGTTGTACAATCGGCGCAGGAGGGTGGAGCCCTCGCAACTGGCTTACCGGGGTGTGCGTGTGTCTTTGGGTGTCGGGGCACACGCAGGACACGCACGGACCCACTTTCCTACGGCAGCCCAATCAAACTCTCGCTCTCACCTCAAAGGCTGTCAACTCTCACGCCTCTCCCTGCGTCCACAACCAGCCCCCTCCTCACTCTTCTACTTCCTCACGCCCCGCCTCCAAAGTAGCACGCACCACTCTCATTGGTAAGTGCTCCTCTCACTCCTACTCCCCAACCAATCACTCGAGTTCTGGTGGAGAGCGGCGGAGCCAATGGGAATGCTCGTTGCGGCAGCTGCCGGGTCCGAGGGCCGGGAGGCGGTGCCGGGGGCGGGGTGCGGGTGGGGAAATCAGTTGCCATTTGGAGTGAGGAGCAGGCGGAGGCGACGGCGGCGGTGTTTGCGGTGGCGCGGGATCCGCGGAGAGCGAGACACCTCGAGGCCCTTTCCTCCTGTCCCGATCCCCAGAAGCAGGGGTCCGGGCCTGCGTGCAGTTGCTGGGCGATCCCGCGCGTGCAGCCCTGCGAGGCAGCGAGCGGCCCCCGAGGCTGCGTGATCCGGACTGTTGCCCCTCTCCCCTGTCAGCGCGATGCCCGGGGCGGCGGCGGCTCCGGGCTCCTCGCGGCCCCGGCCGTGACCGCCACACCGAGCACGGCCCGCCGGTTGGGGCCGTTGGGCGTTTGTTTTCGCAGCCTTCCCCTCCCCCCCTCGCCGAGGCGGCGGGGGTGCGCGTTGGGAAGGGGGAGCCGAGAGACTCCTCCTCCTCCCCGATACCCCCGCCCCTCCCCCTTACACACTCGCACGCACTATCGCGCCGGCTCCCACACGCTCGCGCGCCTCCCGCTCTGCGCCTCCGTGTCGGCCGGCGTCGTCCCGGGCCCTCGGAGCCACCATGTCCACTGCCTCCTCCTCCAGTTCCTCTCAGACCCCTCATCCCCCGCCGCAGAGGATGCGGCGCAGCGCCGCGGGCTCCCCGCCCGCCGCCCCCTCCGCCGGCA